ATGATATATATCATATATATATTTAACAAATGTGCATTAAAAGATCTCTAATATAAAACTTTTAAAATATGGGGAATATGTTTTCAAGATACAGGAAATAATTATTGTTAGGCAAACTCTCAATTCCTATAAAAACATCTTTGCAAAGATAAAATTTATCTGAGTGCTCATTTCTCAGATGGAGGAAAGGCATGAAATTTTTAATCACTGGATACTGCCTTGTTTTTGCATTGTTTTCAGCTCCAGCCCTGATTGGCATGAATTCTGACTTACAAAATTGCCGTATTTCAGTTTCATGCTCCACCGAAAATGCATCTATTTAATGAGCACTTAACACAGCCACGTTATTTCTTCAGCGACATTATCACAGTCACATTGTTTATGTTTAAGACAGTATGTTTAAACAACACTTATTATAACAAATAATGCATTGGAAAATTTGAAATTTCAAATCAATGTGCTCCATTAATCATAACTATCTCTAAGAAACCCTAACTGGAAAGAACACAAATATAAAAGGATGATGAGTTTAAAGATGATAAAATTTGTATATTTAAAAGCAATTCAAGAATAACCAGATAAAATCTTATCCCCATTGTTACCCAATACAACCAAGAAGCATGAAAATACTTTTACATTAGGAAAAAGGACATAAAGACCACATGAAGGCTGTAATTCAAACTCAAAAGGAGAAGGGACTCTGAGGGCTCCTTCAGGTCAGTACAAAGGCTACACTAAGATCAAAGCACTGAGTCAGGAACAGGGCACTGCTAGGCACTGAGGTATCATTGAGCAGTAAGTACAGGGGAAAGGAAGACTATATTTTTGTTGTATGGGTGAACTGAAGTGATCGAAATCTTAGGAACAACTGCCTCTAATGATAGCAAGAAGCAAGCCAAGTCTTTACTAAAGAAAAACAAGTTCACAAATTTTTCTGTCTAGGTCACACAACCTCTGCACAACTGACTCCCATCTTCTCACTCTCCAACTAAGCTAAAACTACTCCACTGATATGTATAGGATGTGATCTGATTTTATATCTTACTAGCAAACTGTAAGAACTCCTAAGTAGCTTTGATATTCTGCACATTAACGACCACCACAATGTTCTGCACCATCCGTAAGCTCAATTTTGCATTCTAGGTAGAATTTCATTATGGTTCTAAGGCTCAGTGCATCTGCACAGTGACCATATCCCCCAGACCTAATTCAAGATCTAATCTTTTTGCTTTTTTAAAAATAAATTCTACAGAGTCAATTATGATGAATGACAAACTTATGAATCATTATATACTACACAGTGATTGCCTTATTTTTGAACACTGAAAGTAAATAAAACTTCTTTCTTCCATTTCTATGCTTTTCCAAACTGAAGGGTCAAAATACTTAGATTTTGAAACTGGAAAAAAACAAAAACAAAACAAAAACCCTAAACCCCAAAACCAAAAGCCATATCTACCCAAGCTGAGGCTTTTCATAGAAGTTTTAGCCAAGAAAACAGAATTTGTCCTTTACAAACCCTTGAACATAAGGTCTTATTTTAGAAGTACTGAAAAGACCTTTAAATCATAGAGGGGCTGGCTTGTGCCATATAATTCACAACCAACTAATACTTTTTTTTTTTTTTTTTTTTTTTTT